GCTTAAACACTCCAGGCGTCTGACCACGAGTGATAACTGTGTCAGCCAGTGGGTCAGCAGTGGCCTAAGGGGGTCTCTGGCTGAAGATAACCTCTGGCCAGAGACAGTGCTCTGTGCCCCCAGTTCTTGTCTTGCTTGTAGGAATGAATTCAAACAAGAGCTAACAAATAGCAGCAAAAGCAGGCGAGGATTTATTTGTAGGAAAGAAATACACTCAGCGGGCAACTCAGCTGGTGGAGACCAAACTGAGTCCCGAATTTGGCAATTTAGAGGGTTTTAATCCCTAGGCTGGAATGCCCTTAGGCAAGGAGCAAGTCACCTCTCCCTCATGTCTCAGTAATATATCTGTAAGCCATAAGGCTCCTTCACCCAGGTGTTATGCCACCAGTTAGACCACATCCTGGGGGGGCTCCGAATCTTTCCTGCTCACATAGGGCCTGCCACCTCCATTGTCTATTTTCAGTTTCTCACATCGTACAAATATTTCCTCTAAGCCCCAGCTACCTTTTCCAGGTCATATCTACCTCACTGCCGATCCTAACAAATACATTAAGGATGGTTAAATACTGGAATTTTTCTTGGGAAAAGTACTTCAGTTAGCATGTTCTCCTTGGAAATACAAAGTCCCCTGCTTGCTTTGATGGTAGAATTAGTGGGCTTGGGGGATGGTTGTCATCTTGTCCTACAATGTCTTTCTTCCCTCCTTGCTCACTCCCATCTCCTTTCTGAGGAGATAATTTATATATATATATAAAATTTCAGGGAGCAAGGGAGAGGGAGAGAGAGATGGATACATCAGTGATGAGAGAGAATCACTGATTGGCTGCCTCCTGCATGCCCCCCACTGGGGATTGAGCCCGAAACCCAGGCATATGTCTTTGACCAGAATCGAACCCGGGACTCTTCAGTCTGCAGGCTGATGCTCTATCCACTGAGCAAAACCAGCTAAGCCACTGAGGGGAGAATTTGATGCTATGTTGGGGAAAAAACAATTTCTGCTTCCTGTCTTTGGGCAGAACAAGAAGGGAACAGAGGAAATAGATTTGAGATGCATGAAAGTAGGTGATTCAGGGAGATAATGGATATGAATAGAAGTAGATTAGAAGCATATGGGTATAAATGGGTGAAGGTGTGTGCAAGAGGACAGGGCAGAAAGGAGTGGCCATTCTATGTTAGTGTTCATATAGTCTTGTTTCTCAAGAAAATAAGATATAATCACATTAGCACTAAGTTAATTAATAAATTCGTTGGTAAAATTACTAGTGTATTTTGAACTCAGAATGCCCTAACTCGCAAGCAAATGCTTATTTATTACAGAAAGAAAAACGCCACAGGATCTGGAAGTGGCAGTGTGAAATCTATAAAGTTCTTCATTAGGCATGATCAGCAGAGAGATTATTCCCTAGGTGAAGTTTAGGCAGGCGGATTATTCACTGTATTTACTGTTTTAGGATAAGTTAAACACCACCACCTCCTAAAAAAACTTCTAGGTTCCTGTCCTCCCTGTGTTAATGAAGATCTTTGAGAATGCAGAATTCTTTCAAAGCCAGACTTCACTCATAAATGCAATATGCTTCTAGAAACTCATGTAATATATGGAAAAATTAAAATATAAGTGATCTTTAAATGTACAGAAATACATTGCCAGTGGCATTCCCACTCCAGTACCTGATAACAAGATGTTAGTTCTAGTGAGGTTTACATCGGTGATCAATAGACAAAAAATTCCATGTGCCCACTTACTTTTGACACAATTTGCAGTGCTACATCAGTCAGGCGGGCCAGAGAGGAGGCTTCCTGTGGGGTAATTTTAACAATATCACAAAGCAGAAGGCCTGCAAACCAAGCATTGTGTGTGTATTTCATCCTAGGGTGAGGATCTGGAAGGGATTCAAGTAATTATTGATCCAACTTCATCATTTTACTGGCAAGGAATCTGAAACCCACTGAGATTCAGTGATTGTCCAAGGTTACAATACAAAATCTTAAGTTCCAAGTTTTTTCCAAAGTAAATTTGTATTACAGGTAGCATAATTTATTTCTAAACCCTAATCCTAGAGCATATCCCTTGTGCCTTTAGCTTATGACTAGTTGCCACAATGCTTCAAAATATTGCCCTGGCTCAACAAACAGCATTTAAAAAAATTAATTATTGATTGATTTGAGAGAGAGAGAGAGAAAGAGAGGTCAGTTTGTTGTTTTACTTATTTATACTTTAATTGGTTGATTCTTATATGTGCCCTGACCGGAGATTGAACCCATAAGCTTGGCCTATTGGGACAATGCTCTAACAAACTGAGCTACCCAGCCAGGGCAATGAACAGTATTTTAAAATAGGCAACAACTCAGAACACTATTCAAAAAAGATGAGCATTATTTAATAAGGAACTTTAGCCGTATTTTCTCATATTGTAACTAATGTCTTCTTATTTCCCCCTGTAGAAAAGAAGGTGTTTTCAGTGTGAACTTTAATGAAACAAAATAAGATTTTGTTCCTGGGAAACTATGACTTTACACCTCAAAAAGTGAAACACTGCCTTAGAGTTGAGTTTGTATATTTTCCTTTTTTCTTCTTTTGTCTTTTAACAACTTAAGACTTGCCAGCTTCCCTGCTTAGAAGCACTGTGTGGACTCCATGGAGCCTCAGATTTGACAAGTGGAAAGACAGAGGATTGTGGGTCTGATCCTTTGCTCAACTCAGTGCTTGAGCTATGTGAGCCCACTGGATTGTTTGAGATATATTTTAGTCACAATTTTATCATTTAAGTGTGACTAAACCAAGGTTAGCAATTCGGATACATTTTTTTTAAAGAATGAGCTGCTGAGCTAAGAGTCTAGATGCCATATTTCAGCCCCAAGCAGATTTTTTATGACACAGTAATGAACCCCTAGAAACAGGTTTATAATGGAAAATGCAACTTGACCTTCACTGGAGGAGCCCGAATGCACCTTACAATAGCACATTTTTGAAACACACAAAATCCCTTTCTCCCAAGGGTGGCGTCGCAGGAGGAAGGTGTATAATAATAGTTGTATTTACTGTAAATACCTAACATATTTTATGATGATTTGATGCTATTTAAAAATTTCACCTTATAGATTTTAATAAAGCCGCCTATGGGCAAAGTTATTGCACTTGGATTTCTTTTCCTTTGCCTACTGGTCTCAGTGGAAAGAAGTAAGCAACCCTTATAAAAAGCTTTAGTTTTTAGTACCTGGTTAATAAAAAATAATTTCCTCTCCTTTGGACTTGTTCACGAAGCTGAAAAATGACTCCGCAGGTCAGTGGTGTATGGCAAAGCTAATTTCTATAAGCTTTTTATCAGGTGGTACTGAGTAAAACAATATGGAGAGACTGAAAAACCCACCCTTCTGTACCACATTTACAAGGGTGAGAGTTATCCCCAGTGTCACCAAGAGGGAAAGCAATGACACTTTTTTTTTCTTCCAAATTTCACAACAGAATATTCTGAGATATAAAAGGTACAGAAGGGAAAACGGAAGCATATGGAAAATTTCCACTAACTATAGATTTAAAAATCGGACACAAATGGCACTCTTTGTTTAAATCACAAGAAAACTCAGCTTCCATCTGTCGTTTTGTTGACGAGGGGACCTCATCGCAGTAAATGGGAGTGAGGCAGGGCATATCCTGGCGACCCAGAAAGTGACTGTTACCCAGAAAGCGCAGGCCTCCTCTGCCAGCCACGCTCCTGTCCCCACCATCACTGCTCAGAGGAGCATCGGGAGAACACTCTACTGAAGAAAAGTCCGGCTTCTTCCCTGAGGTTCAGCAGATCGAATCCCTCGATCCCTCCAGGGCATCCACAGGCCACCTTCAGGAAAGCAGCTGGGAGCAAGGCCACATAACATGCCCAGGCAATACGTAGTAGGCAGCTCTGATCCCACAGAACCTGAAGTCCCACTTCTTTCTCTACCTCTTCCGGCTGGGGCATTGCAGCGATGCATAGCACCCATGCTGCTCAGGGGGTGACAGATCCCCTTTCTGCTATCCTCGGGTACACTGGGCACCCTAACATGGGCTATTCCCCTCAGAGCCCAAAGGATGAGTCTGAAATTGTGGAGATCAGGAGAGGTGAGGGGTGAGTCTGTTTTGATTATTTTTTATTTCAGTGGCCTGTATGGATACTCAGAGATGACCATATCAGACAGGAGTAACAACTGCTTTGGGGATAAGTCTTAGATGAAGGTGAAAAGACAAAAACAATTAGAAGGCCTTTGGCAGATGTAGCTAAAGAACTTAATTCTCCTTTTTAAATTCTATTTAACAACAAAAAAGTAAAAGCAGTCGTTGTGAGAAATTTTTTGTATCATCAAGTTAGAAACTATAAGGAGGCTGATACACTGCTGTTCAGCAGAATTGGTTGGCATAGTGATTGACAGAGAGAAGGTCACATCCTACTACTGAGAGGGGAGACAAGCATTGAAGGATGGGTGTCAGACAAGTGTATTGTTGTGGGAGCGGGCGGGTGGGGGGGGGGGCAGTGTTCCCTCCCATCAGATGACCTCTTAATTTCACAAAGAATTTTGACATGGAGCATTCACTGAGAGGGTTTGCAGAGGTGCAGATGGGAACTTGAAGAGGGTGGATAAGAGGTTAGTGGACAGTTTCTGGAATGGGAGAGCCCTGCTTCCAATATGTGGATTTACATGGGTCAAGTAGAGGAGGGCAGGGGACAAATAAGTTAGAGGTGTGATGAGAGCAATTAGTCCTGAGGCCTGGAAAAGGAAGAGGGACCTACGATGATTATCTCCTTCAAGAACTAGAGAGTGTATCATGTAAATCAAGTCTGTATTTTGTAAGAGTAACTTCCCTCTTAGTTTTTCTTTCCCTAATGGAGTGGGGCATGAGTGTTTAGGTTAAACTATCAGATGTTAAATAAACACAGCAGTCCAATTTGAGTAAGCTAGGCTGAGAAACTTTAGTTGTGGTATGAAATTGATGGGAAACTCTTAAATCTAAACTTAATCATATTTAGGCTATTTGTGGCTGTTCTAGAGGAAATAAGTCTTCCCATATTTTTCCCAGCTTTCGTTACTTTTAATCCTTTTGGTGGTGGCATATCAAACATTTGCTCTCTGAAAACTTTGGGGGAATTGGAATTTTATGAAGTATTGTACATTTATTTAAAGTGGGACAGTCCCAAATTTACAGGCTAATAGGAAACCAAATGATCTCCTCCATCACATCATTCGAAAAAGATTTGTAGTAAAAAAAAAGAAAAAAGGACAACTGGTCCGTCATCTATACACATCAACTAAACACCCCTTTTCCCTTTTGCATAGTCACTGTGCAGGGTTCTATAGTTGTTCACATTGTTTGGAGATGTAGTTGGGGAGAAGTGTGGGAGCAGAAATGCTGAGGCTTAGAGTGGCCATGATCTCCTACAAAAAAACAGCTCTTTTGGACCTTCTCTAACCTGGGCTCTTTGTGTTTTGCATATTAATGCTTAGTGTCTCTCATTTAGCCACACGAAGTGACAGAGCTGGAGTGGTGATGCTGGTGACAGGAGATAAATCTAATGACTCAGCAGCTTTACACAATGAACAGTGCTCTTTCCTCTCATCAGAACCATATTCAGAAGTCCGCAGTGGTTCTGCCTGACTTGCATCTTAAAGACTAAACTCATCTCTCTCTTTCTTTCATATATATATATATGGCTAATATGCTAAGTGTCCAACCGTAACCATCTGACCAGTCGCTATGATGCACACTGACCATTAGGGGACAGATGCTCAACGCAGGAGCTGCAATGACTTGGCAGTGGCGGTTCTTGGGTGATGCACCTGAAACCAGAGAGGAGGGAGCCCGATTCCTTGCTGGGCTGTGCGATTCCACCTTCAGCTGTGGGTTATGTTGTAGCTGGGGCACTGTCAGCCCTGAATCTGGTTCACTGCATACTTGCATTTGTGTTCCACACCATGTATGACAGCAACTTTGCAGAGTGCCTTTCACACTCCAGGCCCCCTCGGGGGATGTTGGAGAGCCAGTTTCAGCCTGATCCCTGCAGATCAGGCTGTGGGATTCCACCTGCTGGAGGCCACTCACTCTGCAGAAGCCAGGGAGGGACCTCGGGAGGTTGGCTCCAGGGATGGAGAGCCAGTTTCAGCCTGATCCCTGCAGATCAGGCCGTGGGATCCCACCTGCTGGAGGCTGCTCACTCTGCAGAAGCCAGGGAGGGACCTTGGGAGGTTGGCTCCAGGGCATGTCCCGCCCATCTCACCCAGTCCTGACCTCCTGGCCACCTTCTAATTAATTTCCTTTCAATGTGTGTGAATCCATGCACCAGGTTACTAGTTAAATATATGAGCCTTCAAAGAACCCCATGCTCTAAGTCCTATCCTAAACTCCTTTTTATTTTTATTTCACACTATTCAACACCCTATACTTCTCTTGGCCAACATTACTGTTCATAGTTCACAGCCTGTCATTACCTGCTTCTGGGATTTATTTATACAGGTGTTTCCTCTGACCTTCTCTCCATTTTCTCCTATCATGATTTTTGCTCATTTTGAAAGATCCAATTCAAATAGAACTTGCCTTTAGGAAGGCTTCCTTGATTTGCTCAATCTATTGTTCTTTCAACTCCTACCAGCTTGTATTCATACACTTGTTTGTGACACTTTTTATATTTATTTCCTGATTTATGACTGTATATGTACTTTTCTCCTTCCTCTCCTGCCAGTCTATTTTGCAAATTCCTTAAGAATCTTTTTGGGAAAGGAAATGACTAATATTTAGTAAGCACCGATCTTGTGTTAAATACCATGGTTGACTTGGATTGGAAGATACAAAATAAAAAAGACATGCTTGCCTGTTCTTCAGTTCTCAAGGAACTTATAGTATAGCCAGAAGTATGACAGTTATGCAGATCATACTATATAATAAAAGTGTAATATGCTAATTAGACTGGACCTCCTTCCCGACAAAGCCAGGGCTGTGAGGGAAGCCCGGGTCCAGGTGCCAGAGGGAAGGAAGGCCTACTCTTGCATGGATTTCGTGCATCAGGCCTCTAGTATCAATATAATGTAATAAGTATAGCAATACAGGCATCTCAGATTGTTCTGAGAGAGTAAGTCACCTAGCCTGGGTAGTGAGCTCAGAGAAGGCCTTCTGGAGGAAAGAACCCTTGAAGTAAATCTTAAAGTTTAATTAGGAATACCAGCCAGGAGAGGGGTGAGTTCTGGGCTGAGAAGAGAGCATTAATAAAGGCACCAAGACATGAGATATTATGGCTAGTGAGAGGAAGTATTAAATTTTCAGCCAGCAGAGCATAAAATGCAAGATTGGGTTACCTTGGCTGGTGTGGCTCAGTTGGTGGAGCATTGTCATCCCATGTACCAAAGGGTTGCTGGTTGGATTCCAGGTCAGGACACATACCCAAGTTGTGGGTTCAATCCCCAGTGGATCAATGTTTCTTTCTCACATTGATGTTTCTCTCTCTCCCTCTTCTTTCCTCTACCTCTAAAATCAATAAAAACATTTTAACCACCCGCCCCCAACAAGATTGAGCAAGGTTGGGGGTCAGCATTAGTGGAAGACAGGGGCTAGTTTCCTCTACCTCTAAAATCAATAAAAACATTTTAACCCCCCCCCAACAAGATTGAGCAAGGTTGGGGGTCAGCATGAGTGGAAGACAGGGGCTAATTCATGGAGGCTTCTGCTTGCTAAGCCCAGGAACATGAATTTATCCTGACTGGGTTGGAGCCCTACCACCAGAAGGTTTCAGACATGTCAGAGGCATGATAAGATTGTAGGTTTAGAAAATTGACTTTTGTGGCAATGTGGATAATGAATCAGAAGGTGGGGGACTGGTTAATATTTGGGATTGCTGATGGTTGGAATGAATTTTCTATATATAGCAGCACATAAACCAGTTGAATGAAAGTTGCTTTCATGCCCTCCTTCATTGGCTAGGCATCTCTTTGAAGAGCAAACTCAATAAAGTGCTATGTACAATATATTAACCTTCAGAGAGAAAATTTGGGGCATCATAGCAAGACTAAAAAAAAATCCACGGGAAATCTGATGTTCTAAACAGAGTGATTATATAAAACGCTAGCATGTGGCATAAGCAAACACAATCATAGAATTGCATAGCTGTGAGTCAGAGTCTGCTTGGTCCTTAAAGTCCCATCTTGATAGCAAATTAGTGGCTTAGGGAAATATGTTTGCATTTCATTTCTTATTGTATATCCGATTGCATGATTTGAAAGTGGGATACTAAATTTCTTTATTTACCAATTTGGAACAGGGGGTTATATTGACTGTGTGTGCATATAGACATAAATTTCCCAGTTACATGTATAAATATAGTGAGGTATATCCTTACATAGTAAGATATTGCTAATTTGCCATTTTATTTCAAATGGAAACACATATAAGATACAATAATGAAATTCAGTCACTCTTATGGCTAAATTATCATTACTACAGAAGGGCATGTTAGGTCTTACGATTTATTTGATCAATAATAATTCATTGTTACAGGAAAAACAGACAAGTATTTTTTAACTATTTCTTCCACCATGGTTCCACATTTCTTCCTATCATAAAACTTAAGTATCTTACTATACTCATTCTTTTCCTGTATGTTTCTTCTAGATTGTATATCCTTTGAAAGCAGGGCCTGCAATAGTCACAGAGTCTAGCACAGTACCTAGTCACTGTAATTGCTCTGTATATATTTGTTAGAATTGAATGGAAAAATGACTTAATGAGTAAATAAATGTAAATAAAGGAAGATTATGTTAATAACGGAATAAGCAAATGACTGTAGGTGGGTTGGCCTCATTCATAAACATTTATTGAGAACCTACTATGTCTCAGGCTCTGAGCTGTTGCAGAAATAGTAAGCAAGACAGAAACAGTTAATAGGTTTAGAGTTCTTGTGTTCAAGAGCAAGACATATGTTAATCAAATAATTATAGAAGGAAATATGTAATTGAGGTATGCCGGAAGTGTTATGAAGGAAATGAAGAGTGTGCTTTGAGGGTACTTGACCCATTCTAAGGAGGTCAAGATCAGCTTCTGTGAAGAAGTAACCTTCTAGCTGAAACCTGAAGAATTAATTTATATTGGCTAAATAAAGAGGGAAGACTCTTCTTGAAGATCTTGAGGACTGTAGGAATGTGTAAGTTGGAACAGAAAGACAGATATAGAAAACAGGAGAGTGGAGCATGATCAGAAAACAGTAAGGGAGAGACAATATTCTGCTCTGACCTCTTGTGCTTATAACAATATGAATGTAATGCCATTCAATACAATGATATTATATTCATAGTTAATACCTAGTTATTTCACCAAAAGGTTTCTATTGAGCTACAAATTGATGAGCAGCAAAAATATAAGATAATTTTATTTTTGAGAAGTTTATAATTTACCTGGGAAGAACAAATTTAACATGTTTTTAAAACAAATGCTGTTGGCATAAAATAGAAGTGGGTTTGAGTACTGAACATATTCAATTGTGTGTCTATGGTCAAATTACTTAACTTCATACATGCATTGTACTTACATCATGGAATTATTAGGAGGGATAAATGATATGAGGTATATAGAATGGTTAATGTTATACTTGGCACAAAGTTTGGTACTTGGAACATACTAATTATTATTATTACTAGTTTGTCAGTTTGATCCTAGAAAGGAATGTATTCTGTTAAAACCAGCAAGTATTGAAGAACCAGTCTAATGATTTGTCCTCAGTAGCTCATCAGTTACATAAGGCAGAGATGTGTTATCTTTTTGTTACCACTATACTTGCAGTACCTAGTTTTGGGGGTATAGAAGGCACTTCATAAAATAAGAGTGAATGAATGAACCACTTCCTAACTTGTGTCTGTCTTTGGTCTTTACATATGCAGATATTCTCTCAGCCTCAAAAAATAAAAAATAAAAAAAATCAGACATGATATAATACCTCCACTGCCTTTCTGGCATAAATCTTTTAATTACCCTCTTAGGAGGCTAGTTCACATAAATAAAACACTAGAAAAAGAAAATAGTTCTGCCTGGTATTATAAGTTCAGAAATATAACCAATTTCTTAATATGGTAGTAATTCCTAGTGTGACTAGCTGGGCTGGGCCTGAGACCAAGGCCCTGACACTAATGGGTCCTTTAAGAAACTTATGTAGCCTGAAGTCATCTTATCAGAGTGTGGTTAGTAGCCATCAGCATTGCTGCAGGAAAGAATCAGGAGGCTTTTCCTTTCTCACAGTGCTTTCTTTAGATGTCTGTATTTCATAGGCCCCACATTCTGGATCATGGCTTGGATATTTACATAAGAACAAACAGCCCCAATGAATATATAACTAGAGGCCTGGTGCACGACATTCATGCACTGCGGGGGGGGGGGCGTCCTTCAGCCTGGCCTGTACCCTCTCACAATCTGGGACCCCTCGGGGGATGTCTGACTGCCAGCTTAGACCTGCTCCCCATGGGGGTGGGGGGGAGGAAGGAGGGAGAGATCCTTAGCGCTGCCACAGAGGCGGGAGATGCTCCCACCACCACTTCTGTGCTCACCAGCCGTGAGCCCAGCTTCTGGCTGAGCAG